GGCTAACAAATTAATGCAAGTTGGAAAAAGAAAACACCAAAGAGCTTGAATCTGCACGTTTGAGGTCAAACCTGTCCACTCATTGCTTTTTGTGAAATCAATACCCACAATAAGATTTGAAGACTCTAAGCCAGCACGTGCCAGGGCTTCAGTAACCTGTGAACAGGTTGATTGTGGCACAAGATCACTCTTTGTAGCAATAAAATGTTATCATAATTAACATCAGAAAGTTGATATTTAGTTATTTTCATAAGAGATTAATATCTTGGTTTTGATAGAGTGATTCAACCTGTCACTGGTAATAGTAAAAAACATAGAATAAAATAAAAATCCCAGCTTCAAGCAAATTTTCTTCCAAGCGAAGCAAATCTAAAACACATTCTCAATGGTAACATCTTCCATAGTTTCCAACAACTATTTAGTTAGGTCGTCCACAACTATAGCATGGAAATGATGATATGCAGAGTAATAAGAAATAATATTTCACCTGCACCAGGCTATTGTAATTATCATCTATCTTTGAATACTTTCTCTCCAACCTCCTAGAATTTGGTGCTGGATCACCATAGCTCTGAGGTGGGGGTGCATAGTGCTGGTATTGCATATATTCTTGGCCTGGTTGAGCATATGGTGACTGGGGATAGCTGTGATGGCTCCATGAGTGTGAACTAGAAGGATGGCGAGAGCTTGAACGTCTGGAGAGTATCCCACCCATTAATGCTATAAACTATCAATTATCTGCAACTCCAACGAATGCAAAAACAATTCACTCCCCGAATAGAAGAAAATGAAAAATTCGTCATAATGGGAACTGAGTAGAACAGGTCCTTCAGAAACTTTTTGTTCTCAAGCTTTCTTCATATGAATAAAATACTTTTCTATTCATTTAAAAGTCTTAAAGTCTATGATAAGACTAAAACAAATTCTAAGAAACGACTTGAGAAAAAATATAATAGAAAGCCAATTGAACTCCTGATTATACGATTAATTTCCCTTTTAGTCCCTCAACTACATTGTTTAGAAACAAAATATTGTTTCAGGAAGAAAATGTTTCCAATAGCCACAAGCAACAAATTTCTAGGAAAGCAAGTATTAGCTCATAGTTTCAGAGGCTGAAATTCAACAAAATGAATTTGAATTCGAGGAAATTCATGCATGCCAAACAAAACAGGTCAATGTCTTACAATTTCCAAGTTTTATATCTGCTATTGAAGTGGGACCTGTCAAAGCAACTGCAAAGTTTTTATCCTGATGCAGAAGCAGATCCATTTAGTCAAGACAAGAGGCTCAAGTGGGTCATCCTAATTCTTCAAAAAACAATAAAAATTTAAACTTGTTTTGCATTATCGAAGCAGTATTTTTTGCCACAGAAAATCTAATATCGAAGACTTTTCTCATCGGTGACTAGCCAAGAAAAACAGTTCCAAAATTCTTACCTGAAATTGCAGCATGCTTTTTACTACTCCTCCATAATTCACACCAGTTATCATACAAGTTTACAGTCACCATCTACATTCACAATCTACATTCACTATTCAAGAGAATCTCATGCTTTCCAAATTCTAGACTGGCCCATGTTAGAATTCAGTAAATCCAGTTCAAGGAAAGAAACAAGATTTTTAAACTAGACGTTACCTTAACAAGAGTTGAGCTTCCACGGCATTAGTTGTTGGGCGTAGATTGATACGGACAAAAGCTGAGAAAGATATCAGTGGCGGAGAAGTCCATGAGAGATAGAGAGGTGGTGGAAATGGTTGTTGGGTTCAAGTTGAAATGACAAAGGAAGGCAAAGTGGGCATGTTGTTGTTTACTGCTTTGGAAGTTGATTGGTTCTTGGAAGTTTCCCTGCACTTACTGTTCCTTGTTATTGTGGCACAGTGACACCCCAGCTCTCACTTGTTCATTTATCTCTCCGTGTTCCCATTCAATCTCCGGACTTCAGTTCCGCAATCAAAGTGAGTTTGCTTCTGAAAAATGTCAGAAAAAACATCTTTTTAAAAGTGATTTTTGATTATTTTTTAAATGAATTTCGATGTAAATACATTAAAAATATTTAAAAAAAATACTTAGAATAATATTAAAATAATGTTCTTTTTCGTCTAGATTGGATTTTGTTTTTACTTGTTTTGACTTTAAAAAATTATTTTAATATTTACCTATTATCACACAAAAAATTTGCTGCTATAATATATTTTTTCAAAGTCTTAAAAAATATTTACCCACATCGTGCAACACAATTTTTCTTGTCGAGAAACACCACTCACTAAATTTTTTCACTAATTACATGAGAATTATAGCGAAGTATTGCAATACTATTCATTATAAGACATTTGTAACTCCACTCTCAACTCATCAAATGATGTTATTGCAGTATTACTTTTTATGAAAAAGATATCAATATCTCCACTTATGATATTCTCCGTTGACCATGAGGCTTTCTATCATTATTTTATTTTTGGTAAATTACACATCATGAAAAAATTATAATAAGTTGGAATAAGATATATAAAAACTATACTTGAAGTGTTAAGCCAGTGATATGAAGGATTTGTTTTCTTTTTTTGCACCTGGATTCAAGTTTTATTATGCACGTTTGTCACCCCCGCAGTGCCTTATATGTTCATTAAGCTTGCAGGATATTCAGTAAGTCGTGGAATTAATCGTGATGTGCCCAAGCTACCCCGGACCCCTGCCTATATATATATATATATATATATATATATATAAACAACCTCTAGTCGGTAAGTAAAAAAATATTCAATATTTTTAGGAACCATAAACAACCATCCAACACTTCTAATAATCATAAATAAATATACAACAATTCTATGAATCACTAAGAGCTATTCAACAATCCAACAAGTTCACACAAAATACCCAACATTTATAAATATACTCTCTTATATTTTTATTTTCTTGTACATTATTTTCCTTCTATATTTTACTAACTTAAACATGTCAGGGTTTTATATTCTAACATAAAATTTATTTTATAGAGAAAATTGTGGCTTGATAGATATGTCCAACCACTCCACGACCCAAGATCACAATTGTAGAAAATTCAATCTATTATAGGTTTTCATACTTTATTAGTGATGTTATATATTGAAAAATGAATAAAAGCTACTCTATTCCTTTTTAGTCCTCGTATATTCTTTCTATAGTTTACAAAAATTTAGGACAAGGGAGAATAACTAATCTATCCATCATAAAAATTCTAACCCCTTCAAATCTCCATTAACTCATTCAACAATGTTATTCTAGTCATATAAAAATAACTTTACTCATTCCATTGACAAGAAATACAATACAATTTCATTATACATGCGCAAAAATAGCTCTAATTCCATGAAAGAACATGATAAAACAGCCAAAATAGACACAACACCTCAACTTTACGAAGAAGAAGATCTCGTTATAAAAAGTACTCCTTAATGATTTCTAGTTATGGATGTAACTGTCAAATTAATCTTTTTTCTGAGTCTCGCTCACATGTTTTTCATTATAAAATACCTAGACGCAATATTAGAATAACTCTTAAGAGTAAGAATGAACACCATTCTTACAAAAAAGGAATTTTCTATTTTATTAAAGAGTATTATACACTCATTTCTCTAAAGATTATGTGGCCACAAAAGCTAACTTGGATAATTAGAATTACCTTATAGATCATAAAAATCATATATAAAATGTTAAAAACATTCCTACCAAAAAGGAAATTTGTAACTCAAAAAAGTGATACAATATGCAAATTTTTTTCTAGTTCTTTTCATAGCTTTGCTAGGGTGTGATATTACAATCTTAAACTTAACTTCATTATTTGGTCTTCGTAATCTCTATATTAAGGTTACCTCACATAGAGAATATCTTCCTTGTTGTAGCAATTAACTTTTATTATTTATGTTTGTATTATATGTTATAGTATATCAATTTTATATTTGGTTCCCTTATTTATATCTATATCTAAACCTTTTTTGCAATAAAATATTATTTTGTGTCATGAGGATTTTTCTTAACCAGAGATATGGAAAATAAAATTGGAGACATGAAATAAATTTATTATCACTAAACAATAATATGAAGTCTAAATGGAGATTAAATCATTATTACAAAGAAGAAACCTGCTATTTCACTTTAAGTACATTTTCAAATGATTAGAGTGTCAAACATGAGGGAGGATTTGTTTCCCCTCATGTCTTGTGTGCTAGATTTAATCACTCTCGCTATTTTAATAGGTTATTCTATTTTTAAGCTATTTTTTCTTTTTCTTTGTCATAACCTAGTTTCAAACCCCTCCTATTTATTTTATAAAAAGTGTATATTTTTTTATTAAAAAATCAAAAATAAAAATTTAAAAAGACCAAAATACCATAAAAATAGCCAAATTAGGATGTTTTGACAAATTAGGATGAAAAAAGAAAGAAAATTAATGTTGGAATCCAAACTTAACCAAAATTGAAATAATTAATTAAGTCTGAGGACTTAATTAAACTTCTAATAGGTTTATTTGACTTATATAAGGACTTAATTAAAAAAATTAAATTTAAAATTCAAATAGGCAAAAATTTAAAGAATTAATTAAGTTTAAGGACTTAATTAAATTTTTAATTGGTTTTGTGGATTCAAATCAAGTTTCAACCTTTCTTGGTTTTTAGTTTGTGGGCTCTTTTTTTAATATGGGTTGTTAGTTAATTATCTTTTAATTGTTTGATTAGTGAAGGAGCATGGTACAAATTGATAAAAACATTAAATTGAAGTAAATAAGAGGCATGGCTACAGCTAAGAAAAAATAGGATGCTCTGGTATTATTTAAGCCATCTTATTTATTGTTGTTTATGTTAACGTAGTTTAATCTTGGACTCAATTTTTATATTCTCGAAGTGTATTCATTGAACACATGTATAGGGTAAGTTTATGATCATATTGCTTTAATTGTGGAGATCTTCTAAATTCAAGTGATGTGCTTTAAGATTTTAAGTTTGATAAATGCGTATATTAGGGAAGGAAAAGTAAAGATTTTTTCACTAAGGGAAGTTGGGTATGTGGAATAAGCTTGATGGGACTAGTTTTACATGGATTTCTTCCAAGTATTGCAGTGGAAGAGGGTCCAAGTTCCAGCAGCAAGGACTAAGGCAGGGGTTAAGTCGTGCCCAAGCTATGCTTTCTTTTATAAGCAAACCACAAGTAGTAACTTTTATTCGGAAAGAAAATTACAGATTCTAGTTGACAGACTAATTAAATCCAGACACTTCTTGCGTCAATCGAAGTGCGGTTTTGCAATGGCATGCAGGGGAACTGTCCTGTGCATTGAGATGCCAAAAGCTTCTGGATTGTCTATATCCTTCGCTTCGAGACCAGGAGGAAGCTTCCCATCAAAGCTGTGGAGGAGTTGAGCTAAGGCAATTTCAACGGTTGCGCCTCCAAATGTGATCGCTGGGCAGCTTCTTCTACCTGCTCCCAATGGTATCAGCTCAAAATCTTGCCCCTTGAAATCTATACCGCTGCCCATAAATCTTTCTGGTTCAAAAGTTTCTGGATTTTCCCACAGTTCTGGATCCCTCCCCATTCCCCAGTCATTGACATAAATCCGAGTTTTAGCTGGAATGTTGTAGCCATCAATTATAACATCTTCTAAAGATTCCCTTGGGACTAAAACTGGAGCGGCAGGATGTAACCGGAAGATCTCTTTGATAATAGCTTTCATGTAGTTCAGCCGGGGCAGATCACTCTCTTGCACCACCCTTCTGTCTCCGACAACACTTCGTACTTCAGCTTGTGCTTTCTCCATGACATGAGGATTCATGATAAGCTCTGTCATTGCCCAATCAAGGGTTATGAAGGTGGTATCTGTTCCTGCAGCAAACATGTCCTGCAACAATAGAGCAATAGATATACCATTTAGTTGTAAGTTGTGTGCAAATGAACTCATCTACAAGTAATTTGATGCTTGGAACACTGAAGTTGAAGCCTTGAAGTATAACTAGACCAATAACATCTTCACTGACCAAGATGACAGCTTTAATGTTATCCATGGTGAGAGGGATTTCAGAAGATCCATCCTTCTGAATATCAAGTAGAATGTCAACAAGGTCCTTCTTCTGCTCTTGTTTTCCCTTAGAACTGCGGTGCTCAGCTATCACCTCATCGAAGAACTGATCAAACCGTCTGAAGGTGTACTGGAGTCTCGATTTCATTCCAGTTAGACTGTGCACAAACTCCATCGAAGGGAAATAGTCTCCAAGACTGAATCCTCCAAGCAGTGCTTGAAAATCGTCAAGCATCTTTTGGAACCCGTGCCGATCATACTCTCCCCCTCCAGAGAAATCCCTTCCCAGCGCAATCCGACAAAGAACATCATTGGCATATAGTGCAATCATCGAGCTTAGATTGGTGATGCCAGGACAAGATCCCGCAATCCGACGAATCAAGCGAGCAACTTCTTCTTCTCTAACGAAGCTGTACCAACGGACACGCTTGGCGCTGAGCAGCTCAAGTATGCAAATTTTCCTTATATTCCTCCAGTAAGCACCATAAGGAGCAAAACCAATATCAGTGCAACCATAGAACAAGTGTTGGGCAGAAAAGAGCTGCGGACTGCTGGAGAATACAAGATCATGTGAAATATTACAATTATTTATGTTTTTCAAAATTTATTCTTATGCTATAACTATAATATTTTAAGTTTATTCATGATTTATTTAAAAAATTAAGTTTTAAATGCACTCTGTTTTTCAGGACCTGAAAGTTATTGTTCATGCAATTTACGTCTATATAGGATTACGTTCACCTGGTTCCATTCACATTTAAACACAAAAAAAATATAAAAAATATTTACAGACACAAAAGTATATATTAGTAAATAATAACAATAAAAATAAATGATACCACACAACACACAATTTCACAATTAACAAAATCATGGTGTGTGTATATATATATTTATTTATTTATATTGAAGATAATTTTTACAAGGGTATGCATACACAGAAAATAGTGATGACATCCAGCTTTAAATATTTTTTTTAAATATAGTTATAGTTATTTTTTAAAATATTTTTATATTTAAATAATATTTTTTAGTTTTAAAAAATTATTTTTAAAATTAACATATCTAAATAATTTAAAATATATAAAAAAAAATTAACTTTTAATAAAAAATTATACTCTTTTAAAAATATGGATTGACGTGTATTTTCAAAGGGAATATATAACAAGCATCTAATACTTTGTGGATAAAAAATTAACGATTTTTGTGGATTAATTATTTTACATTAATACAATTAAAAATGATTAACAACATTATTAAAAAAAATCAATAAGAAAAAATGAGTAAGAAGTTGATGATTTTTTTAGATTAATTATTTGTCATTTATATATTTATACAAGTGAAAAAAAAAGTTATCAAAGATATATGATGATTGACACAAATCTACCATTAATAACAAATATGAAATTTTGTCACTGATTAATTTTAGGTCAGATAACCTGATAAAAAGAATAACATCTTAAAAATTAAAAAATCAATCACATACAATAAATAATTTTACATCTTGATTACACTTATGTTTATAGAAAAAATAATAATTATAAGAGATAATATAACTGGTAAAATTATAGATTTGTTTATAAATAATTATAAATATAAATTTTTTAAAATTATTAAAAACTTACGTAATTATTAATTTTAAAATTTATAAAATTAATTAAAATATAAACATATTGATTCAAATACTTATATTACTAAATAAATAAATAAAATTCATTATATCACAATGGATATAAGTTCAGATAACTCTCAACTTTTTCTCCAATCACATCGATCACCAAATCCTCACAACACCAGTGAATGTTTTACCTATTAAACTCTCTGAATAGATTTACTTTAGCATCGATTTCATGGTAATTTTTTTTTCAAGTCCAACTTTGTTTCCTCTAGCATCAAAGTCATTAATAAGGTTTATTCAAGAAAGACATGGGATTTAGTCATCCACAATCAAAGTCCAAGATGCAACAAACTTCTATAAAAACTATATATTTAAAGGGTATTTACGAGTATGACAATAATTACTTTTTAAAATATATATTTTAAAATATATTAACACAATATTTTTTATAATTAATTTTATTTTCAAGTACAACTCTGTCTATTGTATAAAATGTAAAAAGTTTAAAAGCTATGGAAATGACTAGCAATTGTTTGGTATCAGAGCTTTTCAAGAAAAGGAGCCAGTGACTCCTCTAAGCAACGTTTTAGAAATGAATTTTATTAAATTATTATTAATTCTATATTAATAATAAAAAAATTATTACCATAACCATTATCATTTATGTTATTTTATATGATTTTATTATTTAATTATCATATTTAAATTATTTAGAATTTAATTGAAACATGTTATAAATTATATTCTTTTAAATTTTAAATATATTTACTTAAAATTAATATTTTTTTATATTTTTAAATTAATTTGTTGGGTTGATGTTAAAAATAATTTTTTAAAAGTAAAAATATTTTATTTTAATAAATTTCTAAACAAAAACTACTTTAAATCACAATCGCTATCACAATTCTTAATATTGGAAGTCTTGAATTCCTTTTTTTAATTAAATTTTACATCAAACTCTTTATATAGATAAAAATATTTTTCATTTATATTCTCTGATACATACCATAAAAACATATTCAAAGAATGTTGGCAAATCTAGTGTCATAACCCAATTTTGGGTTATTCCCCAATTTTTATCCATGTTTTGATAAATTTTTGGGAATAACTCAAAATTGGGTTATGACATCTAGTATACGCAATTATATTATAAGAAGTTAACTTTCTTTTTTTGGTTTTATTTACAGTCTCTTCCCTTTTTTTTTTTAGCCTTAAGTTTTCAGACTCAAGTTTCCCTTTCAATATTCCATTTCTCTCTTCTCCCAAGCTAGCAAACCCTTTCAAACTTGGATTAAATATGTTTAATATTATTATTTTCATGATTATTAGTATTGTTAATATAATTATTAATAATTTTTTAAAAAAATATTATTACCATTAAGAAAAAATCATATATTTAATTTGAAGAATAAAATTAAAAATTATTGGCTCATTGACAAACTAGCAATTGGATCACTTTCTTTATTTTTTTCACCCTTTTTTCATTTTCATTTATTGGGAACTTTTATCCTGCTCAATAACTACTTGGATTGTATCACCTCTTTCATCATTGAGTTGGTGATTTTGAGCCCGTTTGAAGGCATGGGTTAAAGGCTCAGTTTGGATTCCAATCATTGAAGTCAATAATAATTTTAATGATGCAAAAAAAATTATAAATTTTGTGATAGTTATCTCATGTTTCCTCTCTCATACATACAAATCTTTACAAATATTATAATTTCATAAATATCAATACCAGCTTAATATGTTGTCACGTTTAATGGAGCACCTAAACAAAAACTTAAATAAAAAGAATGTTCCTTGGGCATAATGCAATCATCTTACATGGCTTGTGCTTATTTGTAGGAGGTTGGTGGAAAGGTTGAGGAGAAGTTCTCGAAAGATGCAGACCTTATTGTTGTATGCCAGAGAGGATTGAGGTGAGCTCTTAGCTTAATAATTGTCGATATCAATCTATCAATATGTATTTGTAGGAGTAAATTTGGCATTTTATGTTTGCCCTGATTCTTGTAATTCCAGAAGAATCATTTTATTCTAGTTACATGTCAAGCAAGACTGTTATACAATATGTGGACTGCACAATGTAACTTATCACTGAGTCAAACATGATGCTGTTTGATTTTATATAACTAGGATAGATATACGATACCACTCAAACATTTCAATCTGATTCATTTCATAGACTTGAGCTTTATAGCTTTATAGCATCTTATGCAATAATTTTATTTAAAGGAGTGAACTTTTAGCTTAAGTAACATGGGTAATTGTGATAACTTCTTGATATTCTCTAAATGTTCAAGCAATAGTAAACACATTGATTGGATGATCAAGGTGAGAATTTCTTTCTTTTTTAATGCAGCATAGGGAAACCATGAGATGCACACTGATATATATTGAAACTCGATGACTTTAAGGGAATTGGTGGGCAATTCTTTTCTTTGGCTAATCAAGTAAAGAAATGTTTAGTGATTCAAAACAAGGATTTTGTCAGTGAAGGCCCTCAACCTTGTAAGTTTGCTAGAATTGGAATTGATGGGCTTTTTGAATTCCTGGGGCAAGCCTCGTCTTTACTACCTTTTAGTATCTAACTTTGCAGGGAAAAAGTTTGT